AAAATAGCAGCAGCTAGCAACTTTCTTTCTTCGTCAAACGTTTTGACTATGAAATTCATCACTCAGATAAAAGAATATTCAATAAATAGCCTTCTAATCAAGAGGGACATTGGTTACAAAGTCATTTCGTAAAGAATCATAATACCGAAATTCATAACCAGAAGTAGTAATAATCAAACCTTTGTCACATCGTGGTCCTGTCATACCTGGATTACATTTACACCCAACCTTACCATCAATTCGCATTATGCACGTTCCATTCCCCGAGCACTGATTGGGTTCACAAATGACTGAAAAACGAAGTTTGTCATTATATTCTGAATGTCTTTCTTTTCATTAAGGTTGAAATGCCTTTCTATGTTTTGATGGATTTACTTCGATGCTCTACTTGCGGATCCAACTTGTGGTTTTTGGTTACCCTAGAAACCCTGTTTTGGAAAGCGTGATTTCCCGGAATGAAACCTAGGCTGAATTTTGGGCGAAACAGTATCGTGTATACGGAACAAGAAAAATTCCCCTGTGTTGCTCTTGAATAATATCGTAGATAGGCGGTCGTGGATATGTGATGCGCGCGTTAGCGTGCGCACTCGAACTGGTAAAATATTAAGCATAGCTTCGCCCAGTACAGCTGGACGCTTGAGTAGAGCAAACGGTATTGAAAGCGGGTGTTTAGAACCGTCAGCGTCGCTCCGAGTTTCGCAGTATCGTCCCAGCCATGTCTGAAGGGATGTCCTGTTCCAATATATTGCGCAGTTTCACAGCCGATTTGAAGGCGTCTTTCAGTGTGAAGCGCCAAACGTCGGCGCTCGCTCTGTTAACAACGCCATCGACGCTCGGCGTTCAACTCTCGACGCTCAACGCGGCTCTTCGCTCTACTTTAGGAGTGCCTATTGCTGTGTTTATCGGGATCCTGTTAGTAGCCAAGTTTGGCTCAGTTCTAAAGTGAGAGGTTCGATTTTTTCGGTAAATTTAGAATATTGTCAATTACAAGTGCCGATTCTGCATTTCTGACTTACATTAGACTAGACTTACATTCACAATAGGTGCCGACTGTGTTTTCTTGACATTCACACTTGTAGGTCTTATTTGGTCCATTTTTGCAGGTCGAGTTATTTGCACAGAAATGACTGATGCACATATCGGTTTCTGTGTAAAAACTTTCTTTTCTTGGATCAAAATTGTAAAGATTATGTTACAAGCAAATATAAAGTGAATTATTCAGTAATGTTTCTATTACCTGTACAATTAACTCCAGTGAATCCTTTGGCGCATTCACAGTGTACTCGATTCTCCTTAACTATGCAAGTGCCATGGTTTTCGCATGGGTTTGCCTGCCTGCAAGTTTCTGAAACAAATTTTTCACAGTGATGGGATGCAAGGAAGTTCCGGTTCCAAAAAGCCACTTATCCGAATTCGAAAAAAAAACTGGCCATTGTGATGAGTTCGAGTGCTGCTTGTATTAACATAAGTACTCCCGAGCTTGGCCTACTGCAGGGAGCAATAAGATCAGGTTGCCGTCGATATTTGTAATATTGTGCGCGTTGTGCGTAATTGCAAAAAGAATGTTGGCTCAGATTGCTCGACTTAAGAATCCTTAATGAACCGTTTTTCTACAAAGCGATGCGAGTCGGTCTGCAAGTGCGTCTACTAACTCCTCTCTGACTATAGCCTTCGGCACTTCTGCCACTTTATCCATTTTATTTCATGCTTTACTTTAAAGGGAAGGAGCATAATCTGGGAACGAGCAGACCGTCCTTCGCTTATGTTATGTTGCGTTCAGGTCAGGCAAGTGCTGAACAAGCCGAGGATGCAGTCGAAGCAGAAAATGGGAGACGAGTGCGACGCTTATTGGTCGCATGTGGTCCAAGAAGTACACGGAAATGAAGCAAATCAGTGT